ACTACTACAAATTACATTTACAATTGGTATAGTGTGTCTCTTGCATTTGATTCTTATAGTTTTAATTTTTATTTTTTATTTTTCACATTGTACCAACTTAATCCAATTCATGACATTTTTTTTAAGAAATTAAACCGAAATCAATGAGAAATATAATTCATTCGCTCTTTTCAAAGTAATGACACGTTGGCATCCAATTTGAAAGGGTTCTTTGTCTTTTAAATGAACCATTTTGGCTTAATATTCCAGCCCAAATTTTTAACAGATTTTATTAATTGGATTAAATTGATAATATAAAAATTTAGAAGATAAAATTATTGCAATTGAAACTATATAGATCAAATTGACAAAATAAACAAATTACATGGTGTAATTTACACACACACAAACACACAAAACAAAACAAAAAAAAAAAAACTTCTTCAAGATAACAAACCAAACACTAGATACCCTTACAAATTAAAAGAAAGTCTAAACCGAATGATGTGTTAATCTATTAAAATATCTAAGGTAATTTTTTTTATATTTTCTCTAATTATTTATCAATCAATCATCTCACTTACATATTATCAAATTTAGAAAATGTGTCTAAAAGTTGGGTTTGTATAACAACTTCCTAAAAGAGAACCAAGCCTGTAGTTTACAAAATTTAGGGCCTCTCTACACAACTTTTGAAGTATATCATTTGGAATCCAGTTAAAGTCAAATTTATTCTTAACATTTTTATTTTTAGCATTTTTTAAAAATTTGTGTGAATTTTTTTTTTTTTTCCAACCCGTCTAGTGTAGAAAAATATAAAACATAAAAGAATTAAAAAAAATAAATAAATATTTGAAAAAATTCAAAAGAAGTTTACTTAAAGACAAAAGGAAAAAGCCAACAAAAATCAATTGTTTTTAACTTTTTTATCTTTAGTGGATTTTTTTTTAAAAAAAAAAATCTTGCTTTTTTTGTTCATCTAGTCGTGTAGAACTTAAAAAATTGGGTTTTTTTTTATAATAAAATTCACTAAAGACGAAAGAAAATTAATAAAAAAAATCACTACAAAAATAAATTTCAAACACCGTATAAAAATATTTGGTGTACAAAATATCTAGAGATAAATATATCCCTCTGTAATGCCATGGACAATTGATCCAAATTCTTTTTCACAACATATGGCCAGGGTCCATATGTTGTCCAATATATACGTTAGGTAGGAAAAATTTTGGTAGGTGCACCTTTATTGCTAAGAGTGAATAATAATGAATGCAAAGTATTGGAGCTTGAAGTGTAGCAAGAATGGCTGCAATTAATAATGGCATCTCTCATTTATTATTATTATTTTTTACTCATTTAAAAAGTGAGAGAGAATGATTAATCGTAACAATTCTCATTAAATGTGATTAAGGTAGTCCTTACCCGCGGAAGAGTCGAATAGATAGGCTTAGCAAGGAGGAACACCACACACAGAGGAATCTCATATGCTCCCTCAAGACAAACTTAAGCGATAGATTGACTCCAATCCTATCAGATTGTTAGGAATTAATACACTTAATTAGAATTGGTAAGATATGAAGAAAAGAAAAAAAAAAAAAAAAAAAAAAAAAAAAAAAAAAAAAAGGTCAAATAGGAACCTAAATCAAACAAACGAATACAAAAATTTGTATGATTCACCTCAAAATAAGATTATGTCCACAATTGCTACAATTCCATGGTCTCAAATTCAATTAATGAAAGAATTTTGTGGTTGACAGTTACCCCCAATTTAAATGTTTGGAGGAATATTTCATGAGCAAATTGGCAGAGCTTCACAATTGGGGGTGTTTGTTTCAGCTTTTTAGAGTTAACTTATGGCTTTTAGCTTTGAAAAAGTTATTTTGGACTGTTTGGTTAAACTTATTTCAAACAACTTCTGATTCTAACAGCTTATTTTAACTCAAAAAAGCTGATTTTGAGAAGCTGCTCGCCCCTTGCTTCTGATTATCAGCTTCTGCTGTAGACATGTTAATTTATGGTTATACTCTTAAATTTTTTTATTTTTTATTTTTTTAAAAATAGAAAAAGACCCAAATGGACTGTAGATTATTATTATTATTTTTTATGAGAAATGTAGACAAACAAAAAATAAAAATTAATTGAAAAAGCTATTTCACAATTTATTTAACAAACACTACTCAGCAACTTAAATCTATAATCCAACAGTTACACCAAACAGATTAATAACTTCTGATTAAAGTCATAATCTATAATCTGTTAAGCTATAATCTATAAGCTGTTTCAACAGCTACACCAAACGGGGCCAAAGCGTCTAATGCTCCATTTGTTTGAAGCAAAATATATTTTTCAATGAAACATATTTTTTTGAATAAAAAATTCACTTAAAAATTTATACTTATAGTCCAAAAATATATGGTATGTGTCATTAATGTGGAAATTCACTTAAACTTTATACTTTTGGTTCCCAAATTATATGATATGTGTTATTTTGATTTTCAAAATTACACATTTAGTCTTAATTTTAATAGCATCTATTATCGGAATTTGGTTGGGATCAAATTAAAACACTTCATACACATTGGGAAATCAATAAGACCCATATTTTGGGAATCAAAAATATAATCAACATAAAAAAATAAATCTTCAAATAAAATATTTTTTATCTTTCAAAAAACAAAAATGAAAAACAAAAACACAATGATAAAAGACATGAAGATACCATAATGGCGACCCAATATGTTGGAGGAAAATAAAAGAGTCATGTTGTTATATACCGACATCTATCTCCATCCAACAATGCTAGGTACACATAATTTATATTTTTATATATATATATATATATATATATAAAAATATAAATATTTTTTAAAAAAAATTATTGTGTGGGTCAAATTCATATTAAATGTGACATTTACTATATATACAATAATTTTTTGAATATTTTCTGTACAAATATCTATTCCCTGTAGATAATGTACATTGCTTCACTGGTGGATCGAAACATCATATAGAAATTGCACAATGATGCCCTTCGGTGGTGTGTGTGACAGTGACCCAACAACGAGAAAATGGGTGTTTTGTCTACCATGAAATGGACTTTTTAGAAAATATATATATATATATATTTTTAAATTATCTTTTTTTTTTCCTTTCACATACTCACACTATAAAAACATAGTAATCACAATAAAAAATGAAACAAAATTATTGAAATTCATGGAGGTTGGGTCATGTTTGATTATTGGATTAAGTTGGGTATGAACATGAGTACAGATAGATTTATTTTTGTTTTGGTGATTTGATTCATATATTTGACATTAAAATGAAACTTAATGAATTACAATTATAATAATGAAAATACAACACATACCATCAATATAAAGAAAGAAACAAGAGTTATATTGATGGGGTGTTTGATAACGTGATTCAGCCTTTAAAACTGAATGTATTAAGTGATAATCAATTAAGTCAGTTTGATAAAAACAATTGATATTACTTAAAAATTTAAATACCTCTTAAAATATAAATTAAAGCTTAATAAAATTTTGAATTATATGAATCTTATTTAATTCTGATTGAATTCATAAATATAAACATAAGTATCAATATATACTACTATAAACTCACTACTACCACCACCACCATCGCTACCACTTTCCTCACCGCCACAACCACCACCATCATGCCACCACCTTTATTATCATTATCATTGTTACCATAAGCACCACCATCATTTTACTACCACTACCATCACTAACGCCACCACGGCCACCACAACCATCGTACCATTACCACCACCATCACAATGTAAAAATTGAAACATACAATTTGAAAATAATAAATTTCAACTTTGATCTTATATATATCAAATAATTTATTTTTAATTCAGCATTTAAATATTTATCAAACAGTTTTTCAACTTAAAAAATTCAGCATTCAGTCTTCAATTTTCAATTTTCAGCTTTACCAAACACTACTTGAGTAGTGGGATTAATGGTGTAATGATATTATATTAGAGATATGGAATAAATTGAGTTTGATTATACACTTGTATGGTTAATATTAGTTGCTTGAGATTACATCGGTAAAATAATACAAAAATCTTTATTAGTAGGTAAAAAGTGATTTTATTCTTGGGACATTTACAAACAAGTCTTATTTTGTGAACTTATACTCCATTGAGTCCTAAATAAAATTATTTGCTCCTGCAAGTCCCATTAATTTTTAATAGACCAAATTATCCTTCCAACAAACTCCAAGCCAGCTTGATGTGGCCTTCCCTCTCCCTTCCGTCCTCAAGTCCTCCATCAACGTCCTTGATGGAGCTTCATTGCTGGAAGCTTAGTAGTGAAACCATGTCCAAAAACCTCCTCAAAACCTTTATGGTAATGATCGTAGCGATCTCGACTCGGATCATACACTCCTCCAACATCAAGCACAGCATGAAGCGTTTCCAACACTTGGAAAAAACAAAAACAAAAGAGAGAGAGAGAGAGAGAGAGAGAGAGAGAGAAGAAGAAGATTATGAATGGTAAAACAATCTAACTTGATATAAAAACACAACAATTGAATGATAGTGACCTTAAGGTCTCTGGTTCGAACGATTTCGGCTACAGAGAACTTGGTGGTGAGGCGAATCATGAAGTAGCCCAAGGCTTCGTCGCAGTGGAAGCTTTCGTCGTGAGTGCCGACTAGTCGCAGTGGAAGCTTTCTCGCCATGGCAGAGATGTATGTTAAAGAGAACGGATCTAAAGCTTTGGAGAAACTTACTGACAGAAAGGTATGGCACTGCCATGAAAGAGAGAGAGAGATGTGGGGTTTTTTAAAATTGAGAACTTTCTCAATTTATAATATTCTCAATTTTAATCATAATTTTAATTAGAAAAAAATTGAAAAATTTCTCAAAATTGATAATTATAAATTTCTTAATTTTGATAATATTCTTAGTTCATACTAGAAAAAAATTGAGAAATTTCTTAGTTTTGATAATTATAAATTGAGAACATTCTCAGTTTTGAAATTGAGAACATTCTCAATTTTGGGATTAAAGGGCAAAACGTCTTTTTACTTGTAAATGGGACTTACTGGTTGAAAAGCTTTTTAACAGGACCTAAGCTACCACCAAATATGTAGATAGGACTTTTAAGTAGTTAATCCTTTATTCTTTTTATAAAGTGGGGTAATAATGTCTTTTTATATCCATTCCCATGAGATTGGATTGTGAATCCCGTCTTCCATAGGATTGTTAATTTCATTTATTTTTTTACCAACCAAACAAGATTTTGAATGGGATTCACAGTGTTGTTTATGAGTGCGGTTATTAGCACTCCATCAATTATTTTAGACCCTTATTTTTTAATTTTTATTACAATGATAACCTCAAGTGAAATTACTAAAAAGCACATCAATAATTTTGGAACACCTCATCTCACAATTAAGCCACATACCCACTACATCATGAGATAGGCTTTATGAAAGCATTTACCTCCATCACTACCCATCTATCTTTCCCAAATCCTACCTTCAAACCTTACACACCCTTAAAATCTTGAAAATCCTTTAGCGGCCATATTCTGCGGCAAGGTAGCAAGCATTAGATTACATACACTAATCTGACAATGATAATGAATGGAAATTTTTTCAGCAACCACAACTCCGTGAAACAAGAGGAGTACAACAATAAAAGTTTAGAAGAGGTTCATAGCTTTGATGGTATTCTTACCTTAGAGGATATTAGCCTTGTAAGAATAAGTTTCTTGAAAAAAATGAAAAAAATAATAAAAATTGTTCGTCATTTTTTCGAGATTAAACTCCTGAATATATGACCGAAATTCAAGAACACAGCCCGAACATTATTTATTTGTTTAGGAATAAGTAACCGAACATTTCTTATTTGTTCGGAATCAGAAAACCGAAACAGCAGCAGAAGTAGGCAAACAAATGATGTCGGACCATCCTTGGATGGTCGACCGGCCGATCAACCGGGGGGTGAAATCCTATCCAGTTTTGCTCATACAAAGATCATACAAGTACAATAAGACCATAGATGAATGACAAAAAAAAACTAATCAGAGAAATATGAAAGTGGATTGTGTTGTATGTGTGAAAAGAAGTAATAGAAAAAAAAATCAAATAGATTGACAAATCTCGTAACACTACAAGAAAAAGCACAAATGGCGACTAAAATGAACAATTTCGTCGCTGAAAGTTGACCAAATGGCGACTAAACTTGATTTAGTCGCCAAAAATGAAGCCTTTTGCCGACTAAAATGAATTAGTCGCCGAATACCAAGGATTTAGCGACTAAACTGTTTGTTGGTCGCCGAATGTAACAGTTTTGCCGACTTCAAATAGATTGACAAATCTCGTAATGAAATAAAGAAAAAAATTCTTAATCACCACAAATTTTTTGAACTAGTTTTGGGAGGTTCTACTTTTGAGGGTTTTGGAAGAGAAACTTTTTAAGTTGTAGGGATGTGCATTTGAATATGTGAAATATTTTTGCAATGATAATTTTGGTATTATTTGGGAGGAGAAAAGAAATTTTAAGAATTTTACAATTTATACATGAGGATCTAAAGAAATGGAGGGTTCAAAATAATTGATGAGGTGCTAATAGTAACACTCTTGTTAATTCCATATATATATATTGAGTATTGCTATTCAAAATTAAAAATTAGATCCAATTTTCAAGCTCAGTGGTATGGCAATCAATTAGGATATTAAATGTAACACTCTCGCTTATATCTTCTCTAATAATCAATCAATAATATCACTTACATATTAGATCTATAAAATGAGTTTAAAAAGTGAGTTTATATATTATTTTTCATATATATTTTGTTAAGGTTTTGAACTAATCATAAGATTGGTTGAAGTTTTCATTAAAAAAAAAAAGAAAAGAATAAACAAAAGGAATTTATATACAAAAATTTCAAATAAAAAAGGCGTCACTATGAATTATAATTGCAAAAAATGGTACTTTTCTGTATAAAAATTTGGTGTGTTTAGTTTTTTCTCATAATGTAAATAGAGGAAATCAATTGTCACCGTGATTAGTGCAGTTCATGGAGCGGTTTATAGCTCTTTTTCTTTTTTAAAATTTGTGGAAGTGTGTTCTAATACATTGTTTTCTACAACTTATAAGATAAAAATAATTTAAATAAATTAAGTAACAATAATTATTGAGAAACAAGGAAAATGATTTTGATTTTGAATTTTCAACTTGCTGTTAAAACAGTTACCAGTAAGAACTTGCTCTCAAAAGTACATAGTTTTCTTCATTCAACCTGGAAAGCATGCATGCTGCATATACTATATCCACATTATCATATAAGTACTACACATCGTCTTCTTCTTCATTTTCTTGTTTTAAATTAAACTAAGTCCATAAAGTCAATATAATTATATTGAATTCCTTTACGATTCAACAAGTTTAACATAATTATATTGAATTCTTTTAAAATTTTACAAAGTTTTAATTCACATAATACTAAACTCCATTTTCATTAATAATTTATTAGTCATAGATGAAAACATGATGTTGTCATATATTTTACATTGAAATGTATATTTTATCTTATTTATTCAAGTGTCTACATATCATTTATTTGAGTTTTAATCACTTTAGTCTTACTAAAATTAAGGTCGGTATAATTTAACCTAAACTTGTGGGGGTTATTATATTTTTATCCTTAGAGTTTGTCAATGTAGTTTGTTCTTCTTTTTGTGTAGAAATTTTATATGTATTAAAATTAATCACATAATCAAATACAACTCTATCATATAAAGAGACACTGACATTTTGTGAGTTTCAATTCATATGAAAAAAGGTAATGTTAAAGGGAGAGGATAAATATGAGAAGTTTTCCATGATATACAAACATAATAATTTTATAATTTTTTTTATATAAAATTATGTTATTGTCCGTGACCCTTTTTAATTTCAAACCAAAACACCTACCATTATAGATCAAAATTTAATAAATGTCAGTGTCATATGAGTTTTTTGTACAACAATTATATTTGTGAATCATTTTTCTTTCGGAGTAAATCAATGGCAATCCTCACTCTCAACAATACTACATATTTTGAAAAATTAAAATACACATCTTTGGACCACAATATATGAGCACCTTTAAATCCATACCATACACATCACTTTTGCATCAATTTTCGAGATACAAATTCATGATACATAACATTTTCCTCACATGTATAATGTCATGAACAATGTATTTGGCCAAGTCCAAAAAAAAAAAAAACAAAACAAAACAAAAAAAAAAAACAAACAAAACAAAACAGATGTGATGAACAAAACGACATTGATAGTACTGAGACAACAAAATCAAGAAGAAAGATTGTGTTTGATCCATTAAGCTTTCTTTATTTTTTTCCTCTATTGATTTTCACTTTCACCCCCCATCTGTCTTTCTACCAATATTAACAAGCTCAAAGGTGTCTAGTCCTCAGCTTTAATTTACTACTTTTATATCCTAAAAGTAAACTATCAGACAAACAAACCCTAACTTTTTGACTTGGATGAGTGGTAGGTGATACATATTAAAAATAAAAAATAAAAACTTTAGTTTAATTTAATCACTTAATTATCTCATATGTTTAGCTTTAAACCTACCATGCCACTGCAAATCAAAATGCTTGACCCTTGAAAGTAAAGCATATAAAAAGTAAAACTTCTAAATTATCCTACATGATCATAGAGGATATACTAATAATAATAAACATTTCATAAAAAATCCGTTACTTTACAATCATTTCAATATTTTTCTTCCAAGAGAGAAAGATCCTGAAAATTTTGTCAATGAATGACTAACTCCATTTTTTATTTTATTTTTATATGCTTTACTTTCAAGGGTCAAGCATTTTGATTAACTCCATTAGATTTACGATTAATGTGAAAAACATACTCAACAATGTGACAAAAAAAAATTTAAAAAAATTTTACTGAAAGCAAAAGCAAAAAAAATTCAAAAGAAAATGTAATGGTAGTTTCTGCACAATGCCTACAACACAAATATGTGCAATATTTTTTAAATAATAACATAGGCAACCCATCTTGGGTAGTTCAGGAGAGCTAGCTCTATAAATCTAGCTAACGTTACCCATACGAATAAGTTTAAGAACACAAAATTAGACACATAATTTTAAAAGTGCGCCTTATCAACAAATACCGTAAAATCTTGTAGATCCGTATGTATTCTTCCTTTATTTCGGTGATTAATTTCTGTGTTTGTAGTAGAACTATATACATAGGAACCCGAATTTCTAGTACCTATACAAAGTTGTGTAAGATGAATTCTTGTAATGAGACAATGAAACTGTGTACGGAAAATCAGTTTTGGCACACTATAACTTAGTTCTTGGACAGAGGGGTCATGGGTACATAATTTGGACCGTGCAATATTTACAAATTCATCATAAAAGTTTTGTTCCTTGTACCACCACCAAGAGTAGGTAACAAGAACACATTGGGATCTCTCTCATCTTAATGCTTTCAAAACCATAACAAGACAAAACAAACTGTTGCCTTGCAGTTGATCTAGTTCAACTTTTCATTCCACATAAATTGTGTTTACCTTTGTAGGGTAAAACCCCTTATTTTCTTATACTAGTCTTCTTTTTCAACTTTTTTTAAAGTATATGATTCATATTCAAATCCAATATGGTATCGCTAAGATGAATCTGGATCATGCATTTCATTTTCTGTGCATATTTTGTGTTCTTAGAATTAACCCATCTTCTTTGCCAAGGTGAAAACAACAATGTGATGCATTATTTACCTAAAGAAGAGCTCTGGCCCCCATTATTATACAAAATGATTGGGACTTACTTTGATCCTTTAATTTTCAATCGAAACAACCACTATCATCCTTTAATTTTCAATCGAAACAATCACTATCGTTTTTATAATTTCAAAAATCTCATTCTGAATATATTTTCTATATGATCTTTTGTAGCGAATCATTCTCGTTTCATAAAAATAAATAAATAAATAAAGCTTTACCTTTTCTTTTTTTTTTCCTTTGAACGGGCAAAAGAAAACTTTACCTAACCTCCTAGTTTTCATATTAATGGCTTTAAGAACTTGAAAACCCTAAGTTGGTAAGGATTCCAAATGCCTGCCCGAGTGGTCCATCAAACATTCAATTATAGGGAATTGTTCATCCCATTTTGTGCCAACATAAAAAACAAGTACACCTCCAAAGAATATTTAGAACCCCAATTAGTGTTCATGGGGTATTATATGATGCTTTTTCTTCTAATATATGTTGAACAAGCTTACCTAATGGGAATAGATCATCACTGGTGATGTTGCAATCTTTATTTATATGCCAGTTCATACTTTGTCTGCAATGGAAACCTACAAAATGGTGTGTATCAAAAATACCCAATTATAAAATACTAGAACAATGAACCAAGAAAATAAAAACCTAAAATTAAGGCCTTGTTTGGTTGTACTTTCATTTTCCTCGCTTTCATTTTTTAGAAACAAAAACAATGAAAACTTTTTTTTTTTTTTTTTTTTTAGCGAAGAAAAAGGAACTATTATTGAAAAACAATGAAAACTTTGAGAACAACATTGTTTTCATTTTTGTGTGAAAATCATTTTAAAAAATTTGAAAACTTTTTGTTCTTAAGAGTGAATTGTTAGAAAAAATTTCTTTTGCAAAATAGTTGGTCCAAATAGCTCTTCAAATAAGTTTTTTTTTTTTTTTTTTTTTTTTTTGGGAAAATGAGAACAAAAAATATGAAAACAAAAATGCAACCAAATAGTCCTTAATATTCCCTCTATCAACCATAGCTATTCTCAATGATATTCTGATCGATTCATACATGGACCAATGTTCAATCATGAGTTCACATACTGACGAAGACAAGAAATGAACTATGAGTTGAATGTTTGTGTGTATGAGAGAGAGAAGCTAAATTAGAAATTAGATGGCTTCCCTGAAGAGAAGCTAAGGCATGATAATCACAAAAACTATCTCAAAAACAGGTTTTAAATATAAGTTGATGCGTTTTGGGATAACGATACTCATCCATATCAATATTTTCTGATATGTGAGTCTATCACCGATTCGAATACATATCCGATAATTTTATTTAAAAGTAAAATTAAAAAAATCAACACTAACACAATATTAACTTCCATTGAATCACAAGATTCAAAAGTGAAAGGAATGGTGGCTAAAAAAGGACAAAATAACTTATCAGTAGTGAAACTAAACTAAGAAAATAAACTACAATTAGAAAGAAATATCCACAGAAATATGAAACTGATCAGTGATCATATCACACACATACAACATAAACATATAAATCAGAAACTCAAATTCATAAACCATTAGGGTTGAGAGGTAAAGTATGAGTAATAGATTCATGGACTTTTCATGAATTCTACAAAGATCTACTATTAATGGTACAATTCTTGAAAGAATTAAAAATAATTCAAGTGACATATAAAGGGGAGAGATCAAATTACCATGCAAAACAGCAGTAAATGAATCCAAACCCATATCCGATCGAATATTTTTGACCCTCTCCGTATTTTCCCACAGCTTTATTGAACTGCAACGATTGAATGGCCTTTTGATACCTAAATTTGCAAGAGTGAGGATGATGCGATCGGATGCAGTTCAAGAAAGCTGTGGAAGAATACAAAGAGGATCATCTGTAGACACCCGACAAACAAACTAGCTAAAAGCTTCCATATGATTTTATACCTCAATCCTTCCAACCCTAAGAAAGATTTTGAGAGCGAGAGATATGGAGAGAGGGAAAATGTAGACTGCAAGAGATGTAAGTGTAGGTGTAAGGAGGGGAGATGAGGAGTTTTTATAGTAAAATTAAAGACTTTTTGAAATTCAAATTTCTCTATTATGATTTTTTTATAATAATTTTGATGTGTTTTTTATCCTAATAAAACACGTTATCAAAGTATATAATTCAACTGTTGAAATTAAAAATGATATTAAATAATATTAAAATCATATTCTATAATTTTATTTTATCTTTAAATATAAATTATTAAATTATCAAAATAAAATCATTATAAATAGATTATAGAATTCTAATTCGATAATTACAAATCAAATAATTGACCGAATATTCTTTTCTATATAAAAATAATAATAAAAATTACATTTTAATTTTTTTTATTTCTTTATAAATATTTGTCACACTCATGGATCATTTTTCTAAATTATAATCCTCTTTTTACCACCAATCCCAAGAAGAATATTGGGCCTTCTTTTTCCCATATTAAAAAGCTGAGTAGTGTGTACGTTTGATCCTCATTAACCTAAGAAAGTATAAGAATGACATATACTGTGTAAAATCATCAATGTGGTTGTTTGCACTTATTATTTTAGTAGTTCATTTTAATTTTTAATTATTTTATAAGTTAAAAAATATTTATTTGTAAAAATAATTATTTTTTTTATAATTTAATGTGATATTTATAAAAAAAAAATTATTATAAATTTAATATGGTAATGACATTTTAATTTATTAATTATTTTAATATATATTATCGTTTTGTAAACTTTAGCCTAAGCTAAAATTTTATTTCCCAAACAACCCAATATATGCGGCTGAGATGCAACCTCCCGGATCAAACGGTGACCGTACACCCTAGTGGGGTACATAAATGGGTCCCACCTTAAATCAGTTCAAATGACGAGGTTGAAATTCCATCGCAGCTCGCCCCAACCCGCGTGTCATGTTTCATTTGTATATTAGTATTTAGGTATGTAAAAGCACATGAAATTAGGTATATTTTTTTCGCTTTTTAACTAAACACATCATTAATATCTTCTAAAAAATTAATTTATTGATTTATTGTCTTATTTAAGTTATAATATTTTTTATTTTTTATATATTTTTATAATAAATAAAAAAATTATTTTATAGGTCATATTAAAAATAACTCTTAAAATTAGTACTTTTTTATTGTTTTTGTAATACCAAAAAAAATAACCACAGAGTAGTTGGCTTAATAAGTGACGACTAGGACCTGAAGCTTTGCTCTCTTTCAAGTCTCATGTTCAAATCTCCTAGCCTGCAAACGCATACCTTGGGGTCTGAAGGTTTGCTCCCTTCCAAGTCTCAAGTTCGAATCCCCTAATCAACAAACGCATACCTCGCATACCTTGGGGCCACGGACCACAGGGCGTAAACTCTGTTTCGAAAGGCTTGTTCGGACTGTAGGAACTTAATCTAATGCGCATAAACTGGCTTAGGATACCCTACACAACCAAAAAAATACCCAAAAAAATATAAAATAAAAATAAAAATTGAAAATTTTCATTGTTTTCATAAGATTTTCAATTTTGTGCCAAAATAAATTTTTAAAACACGTATACTACATTTTGCCCCTTTAATATTTGGCCACTTCTCCATTTTGTCCCTTAAAGGTTATTTTTTTTTCCACTTTGACCATTTATGTTTTAGGTTTTCCCAGTTTACTCCTTAAACTAAATTTTGATTCAACATTAGATAGAAAATGTCATAACAACTATCACATAATATAAAAATATATTATTATATTTATGGCAGATATATGAGTTATATATAATAAAATATTATTATGCCATGACTAGCAATATGATATTTTCAATCTAATTTTTAACAGAAATTAGTTTTAGAATAAAACTAGGAAAAACTTGAAATATGAAGAGTCAAAGTGAGAAAAAATAAATTGTAAGGATTAAAGTGGAAAAATGACCATAAAAGGGACAAAGTGTAATTTACCCTTTAAAAACATAGAAAACAATTTAAAATCCCAAAATGGGTATTTTTAGAAAAAAAAATTTAAATAATTGTTTAGTTGGGGTTTCAAAATCTTTATATGATTTTTTTTTAAATTACTAATTTTTTGACAAAAAAATAAATAAATACAAAAAAAATTATTCTTGGATTTTCTAAAAATATTTTCTTCTTAAACAATGATAAATATGAAAATAATGAGTTTTTTATTTTTTTTTCACCAAACTAGTTTTTGAAATTGTTTCTAAAAACTTAACCAAACTCGGAAGTTTTTTGCATCAATTTTTATTTTTTAAAATTTTGGAACAAAAATTAAAAATAATACCAAATGCACTGATCTTGCCTAACACATTCTAGGGTAAGAAGCTTGAATTTTCTCACGTATCAATTGGTGATAACATAAAAAGGATTAAAATTCACTATTTTATTTTATTTTACTTTTTTTTTTACTCAATTGATAAGAATATTTACAATGTAGTACAATAAAAAAAATTAAAATTTATACACAATTTTTTTCTAAATAATGAAGCTTGATTCTTCTTTAATCTTGCATGAGATGGTGGTAGTCACAAGGTATTGATGAATTACAGACACTATATGAGAGATTTATTTAAATCTAGGTAGGAAATCAAATCATGTAATTAATCGTTTATTCATGAGGGGGGGGGGGGGGGGGGGGGGGAAACATACGCCAAGATTACATAATTAATTGCTAAAATCTTTCTTTATCAAAATCAAATTTTCATTTTAATACTAATTATATGTTGTACTAAATTATTTGGGTTAGCTTAGTTGACGACTTTTGTACACTCCTACTCTGGAGATTAGGAAATCAATTATTATCAAAGGTAAAAATTAATTATTTCTCGTCTTATAAGTTGGTTGTTTCTTTTTATTATGAGCATTATTATAAGGGTTAACTCTTAATTAATCAAAGAATAAAATTAGAAATATCAAAATTAATTACAAAATCAAAACCAAAACACATATAAATTGGTAAAACAAAATTCAGAGTTTCAACAGATTTTATAAAATTTTGTTCATTGCATAAACTAAAAATCATGATAAATAGCATTTAGAACAAGTTTCTAGAGGATTTCTTTCTTTGTTTTTCTTTTTTTTTTCTTTTTTTCTTTTTTTTTTTGTTGTAAAGAAGAGTCAAATATGTTAATATAGTAAATAAATTTTTTTCCCTCTAAAATATTAGAATTTGATGTGAAGTAAAATTAGCACCTCCTCTGCAACATGTATGATGGCATGACACGTGGAAGGGAGAATTCCAAAATTGTCTGTTGAGTTTTTTTTCTCATTTTTTTGTGAATTTTTTTAATAATTTACACCATTTTTTTTATTATTTAAATATACACAATTTAAATACACTTAGAAAGTATAATATTTGCGAAAAAAATTTAAAAAATTCATCAAATATAAAAACAAAAAATTACAAAAATTTAGTACAAATTTTATACTTTTTAAGTATATCAGAATAGATTTAAAAAGTAAAAAAGAATGATAAAAATATCTACAAAATCACTAAAAATACATAAATACAAATTGAAAAATCATAAAACTGTTTTGAAAATTCCAAACCAAACACAAATATTGGATTTTCTCAATTCCACTTTAATATAAATTAAGTTATTCAAACTTGATTTTTATTTGACTTGTCAAAAATTTATTCAAATCGATTTGATATATAAACAATCAAATTCAAACGCATTTTAAAGCTTCTTAAATTGTCAAGTCTATATTTAATTATATTATTACTCGACTCAAGTCAGATATATGTCCTACAAAAATCAAATTACTTGAGTTCAGTTCATTATCGGTTTGATTGACACTAGTTTGATGCTTGTTAAGTTTTTTAATTATTTGACCAAGTTACTGCTCAAGTTAACTTATTTACATCTTTATTGTTATAAATCTTAGAGGTGCCTCTACAATTATGGTCTCGTTTGGTAGAGCTGTGGGAAAGTGATTATAACTTATACTCTAACAGTTTATAGCTTATAACTGTGAACATAAGTTGATTTTTGACTTATAAATTAAGTTTCTCCTCCCCCACTCAAAGAATAAGTTGATTTTTGACTTACAAAAAGTTATAAGCTGTATTATTAAGCTGAACCAAACACATCAAAATAGCTTAAATTAAGTTAAAGATTGAAATAAGTTAGAAATAAGCCCTACCAAACAGGGCCTATATAATAAAAATTTTGAAAATGGTCTAATAAAGATAAAATAGTCAAAAAAACAGTTATTTACTTTTTCTTGTTTTTGTTTATAGTGAGTTTTTTTTTTTTTGAATTTTTTAAAATTTTTGTTTTTACTTTTTAAATTCTTCTACACTAAAAACTTGATGTGTTAATTTTAATTATATTCACAAATGCACGCATGTACAATAGTAAAATTTAAAGAATGCGAAGTCGAACCTATAGGACTTGTGATTTTTTTAAAAACCAATTAATTCAAATTTAAATAAACCCTAACTTAATTAACAAATTTTTAGTTTGATTAAAATTAACTCTAATAATGTAGTAAATAAACAGAGAAATAATTGAATCGAATAATGAACTAATCAGATAAATAAAAGGAAAGTTTACCTATGAATCCCATTTTAAAAAATGGTGATTCAATTAATTCCAAGAATTTTTTTATAGACCAATTAGTCCTATTGATTTTAGAAAGGTAAATTTAATATATTATTTAAAAATTGAATTTACGGTTATACGCTTATTTCTATTATGTTTCATTCTCTTTTTTTCTTTTATGTTAGAAAGATAAGATACATAATCTATTTTAATCAAATTTGAGATAATTTTTTGTATGAGAATTTTTTTTATTTGGAAAATATTTCAAAAAAAGTACAAAAATAATTTGGAATATGAAAATTTTCAAACATTCCAAAATGATACGAGATTCTTCAAACATACAAAAACTCCTTAGTAAATTTTGGACAAATATATAATTTCAAATTCTAACACTCCAATGTAATACTCAAACGTAACACTCCAGTATAACACTAACAAAAAAAAACTCC